AGATTCCTAGCATCGGTTAGCCACTGAAGGAAACCATGCTCAGTCCTTAGCAAAAATTCCAAGAATCTCTACAGGCATACACATGAAATATATTAAGGGGAAAATGGAATTAAGAGAAAAAAGAAGGAAAGAAGAAGGAAAAAAAAAAAATACACAAACTTAAGCAACAAGGTCTTTTGTTTAAAGGAAAGCCAAAGTTTAACAAACCTCAACACTAAGGATTTCAAACTTCTCTCTTGCAGACTTGCTGCTTTCTCTCTTTTCCATTTTCAACTTTTTTGTTTTTGCTGGCACCTTCTGGCTCTTTTTCCTTTTGGTGGATCCCTCTTCAGTAGAAATCTAGAAGAGTGGGGGGAACCCACAAAGACCCAAAAGAATAAGAAGCAATCTGACTTTTCCCTTCGATTTCAGGTCATCTGTCACCTTGGTTGTTACTCCTTCACTCAACCCTACCCCATCCCACTCCCAATTGTTCCTTTAATTCTGGCTTTAAAAAAAAGAAAAAAAGGCCAGGCACAGTGGCTTACGCCTGTAATCCCAGCACTTTGAGAGGCCGAAGTGGGTAGATCACAAGGTCAAGCTACTGAGACTATCCTGGTTTCACATGGTGAAACCCCGTCTCTACTAAAAACACAAAAATTAGCTGGGTGTGGTGGTGGGCACCTATAATCCCAGCTACTTGGGAGACTGAGGCAGGAGAATGACTTGAACCTGGGAGGTGGAGGTTGCAGTGAGCTGAGATCGTGCCACTGCACTCGAGCCTGGGCGACAGAGTGAGACTCTGTCTCAAAAAAAAAAAAGGGCTGCCAATGCTCCCTCTGCCCAAGGTCTGAAAAGCCTCCTTCATATTCTAAAAGTCTCTTCTCTCTTGTGTTCTTCCTCTCTTGACTGGGATGAACACTAGGGTTCCCCAGTTTGAGGAGGACTGCAGAACAGTGCATGAAAATGGGCACTGGAGTCACCCAGACCCAAGTAAAACTCTCACCTTTCCCACCATAACAAGTTATGTGGTTTCTGCTAAATTATATAAAGGTCAGGCACAGTGGCTCACGCCCGTAATCTCAGCATTTTGAGAGGCCAAAGCAGGCAGACTACTTGAGATTAGGAGTTCAAGATCAGCCTGGCCAACAGGCTGTATTTTTTTCCCCATTAAAAATACAAAAAAAATTTAGCTGGCTGTGGCAGCGCGCACCTGTAGTCCCAGGTACTCAAGAGGCTGATGCAGGAGAATCACTTGAACTCAGGAGGCAGAGGTTGCAGTGAGCTGAGATCACAACACTGCACTCCAGCCTGGGCAACAGAGCAAGACACTGTTCCTCATCATGGAATTGTGATCGCTGCTTCATAGTACAGTTGAAAAGATTACACACATAGGCCTAAAGCCACACACTCAAATGTTGTCCCTTTCCCCAAGCATTTGGAGCACAGGCTAGTCTAGGTGAGACTATGAAGTCTAATGCAAAATCTGACCATTACTTGTGGCAAAGAACCCATGTAAAAATGCAATGATCAGGCTGGGCATGGTGGCTCAGGCCTGTAATCCCAGCACTTTGGGAGGCTGAAGCAGGTCAATCACCTGAGCTCAGGAGTTCAAGATCGCCCAGGACAACATGGTGAAACCCTGTCCCTACTAAAAATACAAAAAAAAATTGAGCGAGTGTGGTGGTGTGCACCTGTAGTCCCAGCTACTTGGGAGGCTGAGGCAAGAGAATCACTTGAGCCCCAGGGGCAATGGCTGCAGTGAGCCAAGATTGGGCCACTGCACACCAGCTTGGGCCAGAGTGAGACTGTCTCAAAAAAAAAAATGCAATGATCAGTCGGGCACAGTGGAAATGCCTGTTGTTCCGGCTACTTGGGAGGATCAACTGAGGCCAGGAGTTTAAGTCCAGCCTGGGTAACACAGTGAAATATTGTCTCTCCTCATCTCTCTGGAAAAAAAAAAAAAAAAAAAAAAAAATCAGCTGGGCACAGGGGCTCACACCTGTAATCCCAGGTCTTTGGGAGGTTGAGGTGGGCAGATCATATGAGGTCAGGAGTTTCAGACCAGCCTGGCCAACATGGTGAAACCCCACCTCTAACAAAAATACAAAAATTAGCCTGGCATAGTAGCAAGCGCCTGTAATCCCAGCTACTCACTCTTGCCACTGCACTCCAGCATGGGCAAGAGATTTCACCTCAAAAAACAAAAACAAAAACAAAAATGGCTTCCTCTCCATCCTTAATCAACATGGCACAGGCCGGGCGTGGTGGCTCACGCTTATAATCCCAACACTTTGGGAGGCAGAGCCGGGTGGATCACCTGAGATCAGGAGATCAAGACCTTCCTGGCCAACATGGTAAAACCCTGTCTCTACTAAAAATGCAAAAATTAGCTGGGCATGGTGGCGCATGCCTGTGGTCTCAGCTACTTGGGAGGCTGAGGCCGAAGAATCGATTGAACCCAGGAGACAGAGGCTGAAGTGAGCTGAGATCAAGCCACTGCACTCCAGCCTGGGAGACAGAGCAAGACTCTGTCTCACAAAAAAACAAACAAAAAAAAAAAAACCAAAAAAAAACAAAAAAAAACATGGCACAGAATCCCTAAGAACAAGGAACAACAGCACTTTATTTTGTTTTTGTTTTTTGAGACAGAGACTTGCCCAGGCTGCAGTGCAGTGCTGAAATCTCTGCCTAGTCAGTTCAAGCACTTCTCATGCCTCAGCATCCCAAGTAGTTAGGATAAGGACTACAGGCTTGCACCACCAAGTCCAACTAGTTTTTGTATTAGTATTAGTATAGACAGGGTTTCACCATGTTGGCCAGGCTGGTCTTGACTCCTAGCCTCAAGTGATCTGCCTGCCTTGGCTTCCCAAACTGTTAGATTACAGGCATGAGCTACCATGCCAAGCCAACAAGAGTACTTTAAACTCTACTACTAAATGCCAAGCTTCAAAAGATGTAGGCTTGTGGTGGCATGTCCTCTCTAAATGAGTTAAATTTATAGAAGTAGACTTCAACGCAAAAAAAAATCTAGAAAATAACACATTCTCAAATAAGGCTCATTTTTCACAAGACACCGGAGTGAAAGTTTCCAGTGACTGTCACCAAACAAGCATACTACTTACATCAAATAAGTTGTCTTGTTCAACTGACTGCTGGAAAGCTTTCTCTGGTTTGTGGATCTTTCTTGTACCCCCTCGGGGGAAGCTTTCTTCCAGCGTTGCCATGTTTGGGTCTCCTAAAAACAATGCAAAGGAAAATGGTGATATGTTGTCTTGGTTGCAGATTTCAGAAAGGTGTGATCAATGAGCAAGAGAAAGAATGTTCCAGCAATATGCTACACAACATTCAGGACTACAACACAGATGATTTAGATGTCAGGCCCGGGATAATCCGTAAGTCATCTTTCCAATGGTCTCTGCTTCAAAACCACAAGTCTACCCACCTTCTTCCAGAAAAGTAAATTATAGATTCAATGTAGCACTCACTAAGCAGCTACAGTTAAGTAAGAGATACACTGTAACTCTATAGAGGAATATATAATCCTCTGCCTTCAAAGAACATGCACACTTTTTAGAAGACAAAACAATTATGCAAGTAATTTAAAATGCAAATCAGATTATAAACTATCACAAAGATATAAGAAGGGATAAGGCTTCAGTAAAGGAGGCAAGCTCATAAAGATCCTTTTAAGCTGAAGGGTAAAAGATGAACAGAAGCTTGACAGGTAGAAAGGGAATGTGAGAAAAGGCTTGGAATAAGAAAAGCCTATTATTTCAATAAACACCAGCAATTTCCCTATCAAAGAACTGCTCAAAGGCTTGCTGTTGTCTCTGAAGAATTATTCAACTAGACCACTGGGAGGTTAAAGCATAAAAATTGAAGTTAAATTTTAAAGGAGGCTGGGCACGGTAGTTCACACCTGTAATCCCAGTACTTCGGGCGACCGAAGCAGGCAGATCATCTGAGGTCAGGAGTTCGAGACCAGCCTGACCAACATGAAGAAACCCTGTCTCTACCAAAAATGCAAAAAATTAGCCGGGTGTGGAGGTGTGCGCCTAGTACCAGCTACTCAGGAGGCTGAATCGGGAGAACTGCTTAAGGCTGGGAGGCAGAGGTTGCAGTGAAGCAAGATCGAGCCACTGCACTCCAACCTGGGGGACAGAGAGAGACTCCGTCCTAAAAAATTAAAGGAGAAGTTGAGCTTCTTTGTGGAAGACGTTGAATTAGATATGGGTAGTTTACTTTGGTAAGTCAGAGACGTTAAGCAGGGAAAGCGACAGAAGAGTAAGCAAGAAAAATACACAGCAGACTGTAGGTTGGACATGAAGAGAGGCAGTACTGAAGGCAAGGAAATTCAGTTGAAGGATTCAAATGCATTGTTAAAAACTATTCAAATGCAGTACAACAGAGAAACCATGAGAACCAGACTGGGTATAAGTGAAAACAGAAGACAGGAGACGTTGGTTCTGAGAGACAATTGGCAATAAAAATCTAGAAGGGCTTGAGACTAGAGAAGTGATGACCGGATGGAGCCAAGGATATGGAATCAGGGATGGGTGTATGATTCAAAGAAACAAGAAAGTTCAGGGAGTCTAGGTTGCTGGGAATTTCACCCTTAATTTCATTTCGGACAAGGGGAAACTGACGCTCCAAAAAGGAAGGCGATTCAGGGGCACAGAAATGACAAGCTACTTTCTGAATATAAAGCCTGGGGTTACAGGGGCTGCTAGAACAGCCGGCTTCGAAGCGGGTCTCAGGTGGCCGAACCACACTCATCTAGCGGATGCCTAACAGGGACTCAGGCCTGGGACAGACCTGACAGCCATGAGGTTTCCTCCCTTGCCCTCTCTGCCTTTACTCACCAGTAGCTCGCGCCGCTGTAATCACACACGCGAACACCAACAAGACTCTGACCGCCCAGCGCAAGCCTTCCGGAAGTACGGGAGGGCGCAACACCCTACTTCCGTTGCTGTGTGGCGGGGGCAAAGTAAGACCGGAATCGGAAGGGCGGGACTTCGAGCCGTAGCCAATCGACGCAGAAGGCCGAATCGCGGTGGGCGGCTGAGGCGGCTTCTTCCGGCCGGGCAGAGCGGTGGATACGGTCGTTGAAGGACCCTGGGTGAGGAATTTGTGGCTATAGCAGGTGAGTGAAGAGGGGAGCCCGGGCTTGGACCTCCCGCCTCCTTCACGTTGCGGAGCCAGCCGCCGTTTCTGGCCGAGGAACACCTCAAGATCTTAGCTTTGGAGGAGAGAAACCGTGGGGGATAGGAAAGGAGCTAGAAAAAACGAGGGGCGCACGGGGGCGGCCAGAGGGTCGGAAGCCTCGAGGCGAGGCGGATCGCTGCTCCCGAAGGCTCCCACAGTTCCCGAAGACTCTTAGATTGCATGCGCCAGTGGAGAAAAATGAGGCCCTCCGCGAAGGGAGTCTCCCAAGGTCACCCAGTGACATAATATTGACAAGTACTAGGGCTTCTGACCCCGTCACCGGCCGAATTAATCTCTTTTCCTCTGTACGCCCATAGCTGTTTGTTCCCACCGAGCTGTGCTTAGGAAGTTGTCCAGCCAGGCCTCCTTTAGCTGCTCTGCAGCCTTTGTCAAAGCGAGTGAGCGTCACGCGGCCCCTGCAGTTCGCCAGGCCCGCTGAAAGCGGGTTAGATTTCAGTCTTTAGACGGTCAGCGGGAAGGCCCTTCCTAGAGGTAGCCAGAATAGAGAGCTGTAAACTTGAAGTGCAAGAGGCTGCTTCTGATACCTGAGTGATTCTCACTCATCTTTGCCTTTCTTACCTCGTGATCTCACCATTCCAGGTAAGTGTTCAGTTGGAAAGGAAAATAGCAATATAGAAGAACAGAGTAGCAAGAGCTACTGGTCACTCTGGACCTTTAATAAAGTGCCCATCTCAGGGGTGGAGAGAGGCACAGAAGGATTAATTACATTTAAGAGCAGTTAGTGGCCGGACGCGGTGGCTCACGCCGGTAATCCCAGCACTTTGGGAGGCCGAGGCGGGCAGATCACCTGAGGTCAGGAGTTCGAGACCAGCCTGGGTAACATGGTGAAACCCCGTCTCTACCAACAATACAAAAATTAGCCGGGTGTGGTGGCGTCCACCTGTAGTTCCAGCTACCTGGGAGGCTGAGGCAGGAGAATCGCTTGAGCCCAGGAGACGGAAGTTGCAGTGAGCCGTGATCTCGCCACTGCCACTCCAGCCTGGGCGACAGAGGGAGGCCTTGTTTTTTTTTTAAGAAAAAGAAAAAAGAGAACAGTTGGTGGCTTAATTAAAACAGACCACCATTTAACAACATTAAATCACATCCAGGAGTCTTACAAAGGGCACTGTAAACGCAAGGGTTCCTTTGTCTTTTCCCTACTTTGTAACTTGCAGTGTGCTGAAGAGTGCAGAACCAAATTTTTTTTATCTTACTCCATTATTATCTCATCAGCAACAACCGCCCGCCCCCATTTCTCCCTCCATCTGAGCCTCTCAAGAGTCTTCCTCCTCTGAGACCCAGACTAACTTGAGTAATTGATTTCAGTTCTTGAACTATGCACTTCACTGCAGTCAGAATTAGTTTTCTGTGGGATATCACAAACATCAGTTTTCCTCCCACATTGTGTATAAATTAAAGGAAAATATAAAGCACCTTAGTATTGTTTGGCATATCCTACTAAAAAGTTTCGATAGATGTAACATAGGGGAGGTTTTCAGTTAATGGTCAACATTAAACCCTTGTTTTCTGTAACGGTTTCTCCTAAAAACCTACTTCATACCACAAGAAATGAATCCAGAAATGTATCATGAAATGAATGGGGGGAAAGTATGTCTTTAGTAAGTTTAGTAAAGTAAAATAGTTGATGTAAGAGCTGCATTATAAAGTTGCTTTTAATGGAGATTTTCCTACTTGGGCTAGACTGGCCAAGGTCTCTGAAGGGACCTAAGGAAGTTTGGATTTCCTTCATTGCTCCAAGAACCTTCTTCAAACTTGAAAATTAAGGTCATTTTTCTCAAATTTTCATTGCCAATTCTTTGCACAAGAATGCCTCTGAAAGCCTTTGAATGGGGGATTTCCAGTTTCCATAGAAATGACTCCCTCATAGATATCTCCCTCTTCCATTTCATCAAGAGCCAGCTGAGTCACTGTCACTGCCTACCAATCTCGACCGGACCTCGACCGGCTCGTCTCTGTTGCCAATCGACTCGGCGTGGCGTCGGTCGTGGTAGATAGGCGGTCATGCATACGAATTTTCAGCTCTTGTTCTGGTGACCTTTTGAATATGTCTTGTCTTTGCTGTTTTTCATTATAAAAGAAATCATGCCTTTATAAAATACACAGGTACTATAGATTAAGCCCTCATAAAATTTATTATATATTCTTCCATTGTTTTTTTAATACACTTATTTTTCTGTTTCCATTACTGCAGTATTTTTCAAACTTTAGCATGCTTCAGAATTATCTAGAAGCCTTATTAAAATAAATTCCTGGACCCAGAGTTTCTGATTCAATAGGTAGGGCCTAAGAATTTGCACTAACAAGTTTCCAGTGATACTAATGCTGCTGGTCTAGGGACTAGACTCAAGAGAATCATTGATGTGCTTTATAATATCCAGAAGTAGGCCGGGCGTGGTGGCTCACGCCTGTAATCCAAGCACTTTAGAAGCCAAGGCGAGTGGATCACCTGACCGACATGGTGAAACTCCATCTTTAAAAATAAATAAATAAATAAATAGTCCTTGCCGGGCGCGGTGGCTCAAGTCTGTAATCCCAGCACTTTGGGAGGCCGAGGCGGGTGGATCACGAGGTCGAGAGATCGAGACCATCCTGGTCAACATGGTGAAACCCCGTCTCTACTAAAAATACAAAAAATTAGCTGGGCATGGTGGCGTATGCCTGTAATCCCAGCTACTCAGGAGGCTGAGGCAGGAGAATTGCCTGAACCCAGGAGACGGAGGTTGTGGTGAGCCGAGATCGTGCCATTGCACTCCAGCCTGGGTAACAAGAGCGAAACTCCATCTCAAAAATAAAATAAAATAATCCAGAAATAGGATTTTTTAACAAAATTTAACATTACCTGGGATACTCTCCCATGTCAGTACACAAAGATCTCTGCATATTGTGTGTCCTTCAATGGAAACCATTTTTTTAATCAGTCTTCTATAGATGGACTTTTAAGATTTTCATAAACAGTATTTCAGTGACCATCTTTGAACTATATAATGTGCTTCCACTTTGTAATATTTCAATAAGGGTAAATTCCTGGAGAAAAAAATGAACCGGCTAGATGAAAGGGTGTACTCATTTTACAATCAGATAGATATTACCAAATTGCACTTTCTGAAAGTTGTACCAGTTTACACTACAAGCAACAGAGAGAAAATGCTTGTTTTCTCACATACTTAATACTGCTACTTACCATAATTTTATCTTTGCTAGTTTGACGATTAAATATTGGTCTCACTTTACTTTTTTTTTGACTAATAGTGAGGTTGGTTATCCAGTTATATTTTATCTAGTTTTTGGCTTTTTTCCTTAATATTTTCCCTTCCCTGAGATGACTTAAATATTTACCCATGTTTTCTTCCAGGACTTTTTAATTTCACTATTTACATTTAAATGTTTTATCTATTTTGTGGTGGTGCAAGGATTCCAGCTTCCTTACCATCACTAGCTATTATCAACTCCATTTAGTAAATGATCCCTTCTCCCCTCTCCCATGGAGGTCCTACATTGTGTACTGTAGTGTGATGGAGCCAAGAATGAAAACATAAAGCTGTATTGGGTCAGAGAATGAACTTAGTAGGGGCTATTGTGTTCTCCTCTTAGGCTGAGTGATTTGATATATTCTGAGGTGTTCATGAAATGGCAATCAAGGTAAAATCCTACTTCCAAAAGCTTTTCTTATTAGCAAGGCTTTTTCCTCCGTCTTTGCTACTGCTATGTTGTGTGAGACATAGATAAAAAGTTACAGTATTTTTTTTTTTTTTTTTTTTTTTGAGATGGAGTTTCGCTCTTGTTACCCAGGCTGGAGTGCAATGGCGCGATCTCGGCTCACCGCAACCTCCGCCTCCTGGGCTCAGGCAATTCTCCTGCCTCAGCCTCCTGAGTAGCTGGGATTACAGGCACGCGCCACCATGCCCAGCTAATTTTTTTGTATTTTTAGTAGAGACAGGGTTTCACTATGTTGACCAGGATGGTCTCGATCTCTTGACCTCGTGATCCAACCACCTTGGCCTCCCAAAGTGCTGGGATTACAGGCTTGAGCCACCGTGCCCGACGCTAAAAATTTACAATATTTATATGCAATGACTTTGGGCTTTTAAACTAAAACAAGACAAAATGTATTTACTTTTACATTATATCCAAACCAATTTATTGTTGCTTTCTTTTTTTTTTAAAAGATTGAGATCATGGCAGGTCCAGAAGCTGATGAACAATTTCATTTCACTGGTATTAAAAAATATTTCAACTCTTATACTCTCACAGGTAGAAAGAATGTAAGTATTAATGATAACTTTAAACAGTTATATTTTAAAATAATATAGATGCGACAACAACTCTTGTTTACTTTTTTCTCAGTGTGTACTGGCCACATACGGAAGCATTGCTTTGATTATCTTATATTTCAAGTTAAGGTCTAAAAAAACTCCAGCTGTGAAAGAAACATAAATGGTAAGAAGTTGATATTTAAACCTTTATAACTTAGCCATTTTGATGTTAGGATTTTCCCCAACATTTACTATAAAAATAAACTGTTGTCGTTTTGCAAAATTTATTGCATACACGTAAGGTCAGGAGTTCAAGACCAGCCTGGCCAACATGATAAAACCCCGTCTCTACTAAAAATACAAAAATTAGCTGGGTGTGGTGACAGGCGCCTGTAATCCCAGCTACTCAGGAGGCTGAGGCATGAGAATCACTTGAACCTGGGAGGTGGAGGTTGCAGTGAGCCGATACTGCACCACTGCACTCCAGCATAGTGGCCGGAGCAAGCTGTCTCCAAAAAAAGAAAAAAAACAAACAAAACAGAAAACTATTGCCCATGTCCCAAAACCCAAACAATTTTTGTTAAATGTGTTTTGTTTGGTTTTCAGTGACTATGATCATGTCTGTAATTTTGTCTTAAACCAAATATATCTTTATAATTTGAATGCATATCTGTTCATACATACAGAAACTATTTCAGAGAAGAAATCTCCCATTAGAATTAGTAATAGTACAGTGAATGCTTTTGGGCATGAAGCTTTGTCTGTATCTAGGATTGTCTTCCCCAGTGCTTTCCCAAACAAATATGGGGTACCTACCTTTGTAAATGGGGATGTCTTTTGCCCAGTCAATGTGAAATGTAAGTTTCTGATTTTTACTGATTTGATGAGTTAAAAATATTGCATCTCCCGCTTTTTGAAGTACATTTTTGTATTTGTTTACTATTTGTATTTTTCTTAAAAATACAATTCATCCTATACTTGTCTTTATTTAACAATCGGGTGACATGGAAGCTCTTTATGTAATTATTAACCAACCTTCTTTATTTTTTTTTCTCTTTCAGTTGAGATGGGGTTTTGCCATGTTGACCAGGCTGGTCTCAAACTCCTGACCTCAGGTGATCCATCCACCTCAGCCCCACAAATTGCTGGGATTACAAGCATTAGTCACTGCACTCAGCCCGGAAATTTTTGAGACACAAGCTCTGTTGCCTAGGCTGGAGGGCAGTGGTACAATCTCGGTTCACTGTAACCTCTGCCTCCCAGGCTCAAGTGACCCTTCCCCCTCAGCTTCCTGAATAGCTGGGATTTCAGGTACATGCATGCCACCATGACTAGTTAATTTTTGTATTTTCTTTTGGTAGAGACAAGGTTTTGTGATGTTCCCCAGGCTGGTCTTGAACTCCTAGGCTCAAGTGATCCACCTGCCTCTCAAAGTGCTGGGATTACGGGTGTGAGCCACTGTGCCTGGCCAAGGTGGGCGGATCATGAAGTCAGGAGTTCAAGACCAGCTGGGCCTGGTGGTGCATGCCTGTAGTCCCAGCTACTCAGGAGGCTGAGGCAGGAGAATACCTTGAACCCAGGAGGTGGAGATTGCAGCGAGCTGAGATCACACCTGCATTCCAGCCTGGGTGACAGAGAAAGACTCCCTCTCAAAAAAAAAAAAAAAAAAAAAGTCGGGCGCAGTGGCTCACGCCTATAATCCCAGCACTTTGGGAGGCTGAGGCGGGTGGATCACGAGGTCAAGAGATCGAGACCATCCTGGTCAACATGGTGAAACCCCGTCTCTACTAAAAATACAAAAGTTAGCTGGACATGGTGGCACGTGCCTGTAATCCCAGCTCCTCAGGAGGCTGAGGCAGGAGAATTGCTTGAACCCAGGAGGCAGAGGTTGCGGTGAGCCGAGATCACGCCACTGCACTCCAGCCTGGGTAACAAGCGAAACTCTGTCTCAAAAAAAAAAAAAAAAAAAAAAAAAAAGAAAAGAAATTGTGTCTCTGATGCACATTTATTTTGTGCTATTTAAGATGTTAGTTTAGCCAAGCGTGGTGTGGTGGCTCATACGTGTAATCCCAGCACTTTGGGAGGCTGAGGTGGGTGGATCACCTGAGGTCAGCAGTTGGAGATCAGCCTGGCCAACATGGCAAAACCACATCTCTACTAAAATACAAGAATTAGCTGGGTGTAGTGGCAGGCACCTGTAATCCCAGCTACTCAAGAGGCTGAGGCATGAGAATCACTTGAACCCAGGAGGCAGAGGTTACAGTGAGCCGAGATCAAACCACTACACTGGGGGATAGAGTGAGACCCTGTCTCCAAACAAACAAAAAAAAAGGATGTTACTTTATATGCTAGACTTTTCCAATAATATACCTTTAGGATCATACTAAATTGTTGGTAGCTTATTTGTTAAAGGTGGAATATTAGGTTAAAATGTATTAATCTCTCGGCACTTTGGGAGGCTGAGGCAGGTGGATCATGAGGTCAGGAGATCAAGACCATCCTGGCTAACATGGCGAAACCCTGTCTCTGCTAAAAATATAAAAAATTAGCCATGCATGGTGGCATGCTCCTGTAGTCCCAGCTACTTGGGAATATGAGGCAGGAGATTGCTTGAACCTGGGAGGCAGAGGTTGCAGTGAGCCAAGATCCTGCCACAGTATTCCAGCATGGGCAAAGGAGTGAGACTCCCTCTCAAAATGGAAAAACAAATGTATTAAGAAAAACAAATGTATTAATCTAAGGCCAGGCTCACACCTACAATCCCAGCACTTTGGGAGGCCAAGGTGGGTGGATCACTTGAGTTCAGGAGTTCGAGACCAGCCTGACCAACATAGTGAAACCCCATCTCTCAAAATAAAAATTAGCCAGGCGTGGTAGCACATGCCTGTAATCCCAGGACTTGGAAGGCTGAGGCAGGAGAATCGCTTCAACATGGGAAACAGAGGTTTCAGTGAACCAAGATTGCATCATTGCACTCCAGCCTGGGCAAGAAGAGGGAAACTCCGTCTCAAAAAAAAATATATTAATCTGAGTTACACCTTAATTTGGGTTTTAAGCCTCTGACAGTCTAATAAATTTGCATTCAATTTCAGTGGGTTCATGTATCTTAGTAATTAAAATTGACCACATTCGTACCTAAACTTTCTGCTTTGTTTATAGGATTTTAAACTGTCTCCGGTTCTTAACCTCATCTGTTAAGTTCCATGCCTGGAGAAGCTAATCCCAACTCATCATGTGATAATACAATTTGTACAATAAATTATGAACCTGGAAAAGCTGGTTGTCTTTATTTACAAGATATCAAAAATATAAAAACTGTACAAAATGCAACAAAGGCAAAAACTGGCAGTGACTTGGTCTAAATCTTTTAAAAGTTTCCCAAAGCAAGGCTCAGTACTGGAGGTAAGCAACGGAAATGTCTGTCTGACTTCAAGTGTACTAGGTTGTATGTAGCTGTTTTAGCTGAAGTAGAACATGGAAGCTAAATTTCCTCACCTAGTTTATCGAGTGTTTGGGTGCACTCAAAACTCAACTGGTATAGAAATTCAGATGTCATTGGAGGGCTGTATTAAATCTAGATCTAAGAAAGGAACTGTAGTTCACCCTACATAGTTAGATATCTTCCACTAATCATGGGCCAAGAAAAAAAATGTTAGCAGATCATTTAACATAGTACTTGAGTGCCATATAGTAACTACATTTTTACAGCAGAAACACATGATCATAGGATTCTTCAGCTAAAATCCAAAATGATATTATATTTCTGATTTTGAATCTCGAAGCAAGATGAATTATTGAAATCAACTTTTTTTCTAAATGTAATAAATTAAAATAGCATTTGAACAGAAAATGCATAGTTTCCACACAATCCAAAGCACCATAAATGTCCCCTCCATGAACATAATACCTCTTATTCAACTAACGGAAATTAGTCAAATGTGGTTGCTATAGAAACGTGGAACTGTCATGTTCAGATTTTCCAAGCAGCATACTTCCAGATCCATATAGACAAAAACATTCTTTGTAGCTTAAATATTAATCACTGAGGTATTTGCTTTTAGTCTCCCTTTTTAAAAACAGTAGCTTCCAAAAGGTCTTTAACACCGATGATTTATTGCGGACTATAAGCTCCTGCAGCTAGAACCAGGTTTCTTCGAGTAAAATGAAGGTGTACAACAGGTGTTGATTTGGTCATATATGTTCCCAACAATAGCTCCTGTGAATTCTCGGGTAAATTTATGTGCCCAGTGGCTGTAGTAAAGTCATCGGTTTCTAGATCTTCAAAGGCTTTGATAGCATCCCATAATCGAACTGTATTATCCATTGAACCTAAGGGGAAGTCAAAGGAAACCATTAGTTGCATCCATCATATTTAGATTCTGAGACTGTCCAATGCATTTTATGTATTTACTGTACATTTTGGGTGAAAAATCTAAACTTGACCAAAAATTATTCCTTCTAAAGGAGCATTTCAGGTGGTATTTTAACCTGAGAAGTCATTCATGTAGGGTGGCACTGGAATCGTAGCTAAAGGAAAGCAAAACCTAAAACATCAGGACTTAATTTAGCAATCGTCAACACTGTTTCCTCTTAACATACCATTTACCATAAAGCCATTAATAGTCATTTACCTGATGCCAAAATTTCACCATCTCTACTAAACCTAAGTGAACAGACTGTATCAGTGTGGCCTTTTAATTCTCCAACCATCAAACCATGTCCAATATCCCAAAGAAGTACTCTGCCATCTGTTGCTCCTGTAGCCAGGAATCTCCCATTGGGAGAAAATGTCAAGGAATGAATTGGTCCCTAGAAAAGACATTTATAGGATCAAAAGTCAAGTATGTCCAAGAAAGTAAGACAAAATTTTAAAAGTTTTGTAGTAAGAACGGTATCTTTTATGTTACTTGTTTAAAAAATATTTTTATGTTGAAAGCAACTCCGGATGCTGGAATAATAAGAGTGTAACATACCTTGTGTCCAGTGAAGATCCTTACACAGTTACCATTCAGGACATCCCAGAGCCGCACAGTTCTATCTGCAGAGCCCGTAGCAACATAATTAGAATTTGGATGGAATCTGGTACAATTCACATCAGCAAGATGGCCAGCAAATATCCTTAAAGGCTGATAGTGGTCTGTAGCCCAAAGCCTTTTATAAAGTTATTAAAAGCAAAAGATGACAATTAGTAGTTAGCTGTGAAATGCCAAAAATCTATCCAAAATAAATACAGAAACATCTATGAAATGTTAGTTCTAGTGGCTCCCACTTACTAGTTAACAGAGGAAAGAAGAATTAGACGGCCGGGCATGGTAGCTCACGCCTGTAATCCAAGCACTTTGGAGGCCAAGGTGGGTGGATCACCTGAGGTCGGGAGTTCAAGAACAGCCTGACCAACATGGTGAAACTCCGTCTTTATTAAAAAAAAAAAAAAAAAAAAAAAGAAGTATGAGACTAACAGTTCCAAGAGTTGATCTGGTACCCATTTTGTCTTTTTTTTTTTTTTTTTTTTCAAAGCTGAGGTCTTGCTCTGTTGCCCAAGCTGGATTCAAATTCTGGGTTCAAGCAATCTTCCCACCTAAGTCTCCCCAGTAGCTGGGACTACAGGCATGTACCATTGTACCCAGCCGAAACTTAAGTTATAGAACTCCAATTCTCTGTATATTCCTCTTCCTTCCCTATTCCTAATCTAAACCACAAGGAAGTATTTTGCCCTAGTTCTGGCCACCAAACAGTTGGTTTTTGAAAGAGTCTCACTGTCACCCAGTGCAGTGGTGTGATCTCGGCTCACTGCAACCTCCACCTCCTGGGTTCAAGCAATTCTGCCTCCATCTCCTAAGTAGCTGGGACTACAGGCACGTGCCATCACGCCTGGCTAAATTTTGTTTTTTGTCTTTTTCAGTAGAGATGGGGTTTTACCATGTTGGCCAGGCTGGTCTGGAACTCCTGGCCTCAAGTGACCTGCCCTCTTCGGCCTCCCAAAGTGCTGGGACTACAGGTGTGAGCCACCACACCTGGCCAAATAGTTTCTAACCTGAGCTACCTTATCCTCAACTTCTAAGGAGATTACACAGAAACATAAAGGTGCTCACAGCGGTAGTGGAAGACAAGGTTAAGCATCTGATGGGCGTGGGAGGGAGGATTGTTAATTAAGTCTTTTTTAAAAAGCAGGATGGATTTGGCTGGGCACGGTGGCTCACGCCTATAATCCCAGCACTTTGGGAGGCCAAGGAGGGTGGATCACGAGGTCAGAAGATCGAGACCATCCTGACCAACATGGTGAAACCCCTTGTAAAAAAATATATATAGGCCGGGTGCAGTGGCTCAAGCCTGTAATCCCAGCACTTTGGGAGGCCAAGGCAGGTGGATCACAAGGTCGAGAGATCGAGACCAACCTGGTCAACATGGTGAAACCCCGTCTCTACTAAAAATACAAAAAATTAGCTGGGCATGGTGGCGCGTGCCTATAATCCCAGCTACTCAGGAGGCTGAGGCAGGAGAATTGCCTGAACCCAGGAGGCGGAGGTTGCGGTGAGCCGAGATCGCGCCATTGCACTCCAGCCTGGGTAACAAAAGCGAAACTCCGTCTCAAAAAAAAAAAAAAAAAAAAAAAAAAAAATATATATATATATATATATATATATATACACACACATATATATATATACACATATACATATATATATATACACACATATACATATATATATATAAAACAAATAAAAAGCAGGATTCATATAGATATAATTGCAGATATAATACTCCTTCCCAAAATTGATCTTCACATAAGTTATACATGCAAAAGCTTCTCAGAAAGCAGACCCTCAATAATGGAAGTTAAATGATTTTGGCTGGCTGCTGTAATTCCCAACAAGAAACCATTCTGATCATTGAATAGACCCAGTCGTAAGATCACAGTGTTCTTACCGAGCTACTCGGTCATGGCCCCCTGACACAAAATAATATCCATATGGAGAAAATTGCGTGTCCCATACTGGATAGTTATGTCCTTTATATCCCACCAAACAAGTAAATGTTTGAAGGCTCCACAATCTGACTGTTCCATCTTCTGAAGAGGAAAGCAGATAGTTCCTGAGAGAAGAGAAGGTGACATATTTGACTCCCAGAGTAATCTTTGGCCACCTGCATTTGAATATATTAAATGTAGCTAGTGTTTGAATACATTAAATACATTTGAATACATTAAATGTAGCATGTTAGCGAATACATTATATGAATACATTAAATGTAACATGCTACATCTCACTTTTAATTCATACACAGAATTCACAGTAGTTATCAAGAACTGAAAGAACTAACCAAATTAATGTTATCCCTGACACACTATATATATCAAGCACCTACTGAATGAGGTAAGATTATTTAGAAACTTACAGTCTATTAAGGGGAAAATCACAGTTCTTTACAAGAAAAAAATACCAGGGGTAATTAACAAAGTACAGTCAATTAAGGTCAATTGAAAAAGTTTAAGAAATGTGGTATGTCACTTAAAACTCAACAATTTCTGATCCTAAAATAAAGATGCTATTTCCCTATCCTGTGTAAGCTATGTAAGAATTAAAAAGGAAATGTCTTTTGAAGAAAAAAAACACTATATAGACATGCTAATAATACCCTACCTTTAACACAAAAGATTGATAGTCAGAGAGTATAATTTTCACTGAAATCAGTTTCCCTCAAGTAAAAATATATCATCTGGGCCAGGCACAGTGGCTCACGATTATAATCTCAGCACTTTGGGTGGCTGAGGCAGGCAGATTACAAGGTCAGGAGTTAACAGCCCAGCCTGGCCAATATGGTGAAACCCCATCGTCACTAAAAATACAAAAATTAGCTGGCCATGGTGGAATGCGCCTGTAGTCCCAGCTACTCGGGAGGCTGAGGCAGGAGAAACGCTTGAACCCTGGAGGCGGAGGTTGCAGTAAGCCAAGACTGTGCCACTGCACTCCAGCCTGGATGACAGAAGGAGACTCCATCTCAAAAAAAGAAAAAGAGGCCGGGCACGGTGGCTCAAGCCTGTAATCCCAGCACTTTGGGAGGCCGAGGCGGGTGGATCACGAGGTCGAGAGATCGAGACCATCCTGGTCAACAAGGTGAAACCCCGTCTCTACTAAAAATACAAAAAGTTAGCTGGGCATGGTGGTGCGTGCCTGTAATCCCAGCTACTTAGGAGGCTGAGGCAGGAGAATTGCCTGAGCCCAGGAGGCGGAGGTTGCGGTGAGCCGAGATCGCGCCATTGCACTCCAGCCTGGGT